CTGAGATAGAATCCCAAGGAGATGAGAAAGAGAGGAAGGCTGAGATTCACCTGGGTACAATATCTAAAGGAAGGTCTCCTGTATATGGAACACGGCTGGCTGGGGGTGGAGAAAATCGCCAATAACAGAGACAGGTGGATAGCCTATTTTGACCGCCTATACCCAATACCCAATAGCAGCGCGAAAGAGGCGGAAGAAGAGGAAGGCAATACTCAGTACTCTATTGACGAACGAAATGTAGACAGGAAAGGTGTCAATACTGAAAGCAACCGTCTTGTGGCAACAACCCGATGTTTGCCCCATTTTGTAGCATCTAGGCCAGTATGACGGTCCCATTGCCACCCGCCATAGTTACTCACCATCATCATGATTCAACATTCATTCCTCTGCGCTGATGCTCTCGAATAAGCTACATTACATGTATTATCCTGATCTTTCCCCGCCCGTCACCATTCTGTTTTGGCTGTCCAATTAAATTGCTTTGGGTCTTGTTTACCTTCAATTTTGCAAGCGAGAGCTAGATGCTCGGGCTCCTTGTGTATATTTAAGTGTCCCAGAAACTACTTTTGTCCCTTCCTAATTGTTTTTATCAGCGAGCGGCCCACGCAGGCTTTTTCAAGTACGACATCTTGATTTCTTTCCCTGAAATACTTGGGGTTAGATGCAGAAAAAAGGAAAGCTAGGAAGAGAACTGTCCAGTGGAAGCTCCTGAGAAACATTGTGAACATTTGAACACATTGGAGGCGCCCTGTCTGAGCATTTGACAACGCTTGAAGAAGTTCTTTTTGTGCAGCACTTTAAAAAAAAAAGTCGTAGCTTCATTCTTCTTGCAGATTTTCCTATCTGATTTCTTTACCTGAGACTTAAAATGGCAGGCAAAATGATGCATACCATGAAATGTGCAAACTCATCTTTCTAAGTGGTTCATGATGGTTTGAAATGTGCCGAGACGCGGTGTTTGGTCTGTTTCTGGTCGGATTTGTGTGTCCCCTACGCCCTTAAAGAGTGAAAAATATTGCACTATCAAATGCTACGAAAGAGGCCCCTAATTATATCCCGAAATGTGACCCAACACTACCTATACCATACTCTTAAAACTTACCCTTGCGATAGAACCCCCCTATAAAAAAACAAAGGCGCTACAAAGTGAAGATGGAAGAATTAATTAATTGTGAACAACTCAAATCTCTTCAATCAACCGAGAATCCAGAGGTTCCCCCCCTTTTTTTTTCCTTTTTCCCTAAAAGTTCTGAAGGACCACCGTTTCGCCTCAGTCAAATTAAAATTGTCCCTAAACAATAATCCTCAGGATAAATCCTAATGGTTTGTCTACACACTATAAGACCTGTCCAAGCTTGTAGGGACACTGGCAAGTCGTGGCGGGCACAAATACTGAACCGCGCATGATGACAGCAAATGATTGTCATTGTGCTCTTTGGACTGGAAAAGTAAGGAATGAGTCCTAATCTGTAAGAGCACATATCGTATAATAATAATTGGGCATATAATTAAAGAGTCACACAAGAAAGTGGCTGTGCCAGACTGTTCAACTGATAGTAGAAGCTTTACGTCTCTATCAATACAACTTAAAGCATTTAGAAGGTGGACTGCTTTGACCTTGCTTTTCAGGGTGAAACCAAGCAGCGTCGGATACTGTATCCCAGAAGATAGACGGAGATACCCGATAATATAGATTCACCACAAACGCCAGCCAGCCGAGAATTGAGGAAGCTCGAAAAGACAGAAAGACATAACACAGTTAACTTCAGTATGAAAACGTTCAAAGTGTACCTAGAAAAGAAAACTAAAAAAACAATTTTGTGGCACGGCTTGGCTTTGTAACACCTCTTTGAATACTGCAGGGCTGTTTAATTTGTATTTAGCATTCCTCACGAAAAAGAATATAACTCATCCGTGTAGGGGAAGAGCCTTTAACACCCTCCCCCCCCCCCCCCCCCCCCATTTAACCAAAGTTAAAAATGCCCTTCTGGGGTTCGACCCAGAGTCATCAGTACCTTTACTCAACAGTGATACTGACTCTGCCTGTGGATTCATAGTTCATCGCCTAATCAACTCACCCTTCTAGGAGACCCAGATCTCTTCCCTGAAGACCCCACGGTGTCCACAATATTGACGTGTTCTCTCACGTCATCATCGTCCGAAGCTGTTTCATAAGCGGTGTCTGAGTCTTTGCACCCAGACTCTACCCGCGCCCCGCCTTTTGCCTTCTTGTGGCTGTTATGATCTTGAACTGGCATTAGTCCAGGCGCCACCAAGACCGCTGCACCAAGGGTAGCCATCGCAACATTCTGTTCTCCTTTCGTTTCTTCACCTTTCTTGTTTTGGTTTTTCTCTTTACGTTTAGCCGCTTTTGATTCTTTGTTCTTTTTTGACTTCGCTTCTGAAGATTTTGGTGAGGAGTTTTCAGCTGGTGGCTTTGATTGCTCGGAGGCTTGCTGGGACGTGGAGAGCGAAATGACTGCTGAGGATACCGCTGTTGTTGTCGATGGCAGCCTCGGAGATAACGGCGGTGTTGAGTACGGCGTGTCTGTCGCGTAGGATCCCCTCCTATGTTGGGGCGGTGAGTAGAGTTTGATAGACGACTCGGACAACTGTCGGCTGAACTTTCTCGGGGACGCTGCTACGGTGATCGTGCCGGAAGAGCGGAAGAAGGAGGGGGAGGAGAGGGCGGGGTTGTCTTCCGGTGAGGAAGACGATTGGCCGTCTGTTCGTCCCTCCTCCCACATCGTGGCTGAGGTGAGCGACGACATGGAGGAGGTGGGAGAGACAGATCTGGAAGGGAGGGCGGAGGCGGGGCGGGAGGGGAGCGGGGGCGGCATGTCCGCGGCAGGGGGAGGGGGAAGGACTGGGGGGAGGCCAAGACTTATCGGGGAGGGTGGGGGCGGGGTGGGTGGGAGTTTTCGTGGGGTGGGCGGGGTAGGCGATGGTTGGGGCGGGTCTTGTTCTCTTGGGGAGGGCGGTGGCGTGGAACCGGAAGCGGAAGAATGAGAGGAGCGGGAGAAGACGTGAAATCTTCGAGACGCTTGAGGAGGGGTGTAGCGAGATGACGCCGGGGATGAAAGGGCGTCTTCCGGAGCGAGAGAATTCGGCCTTGACTTGTTGAAAGCGGGACTGCCATTGGTTGTGTGGACAGTAGAAATTGATGACGTTGTTGACGGCTTGATGCCGAAACGAAAGGCATCCCCGTCCACTCCATTGTATACCCAGGTATTGCCCACCCGTATTGCACTGTAATGATGGATGTCGTCTGGCTGCTCCATTGAATAAAAATGTAAGAAAAAATGTACTCACTGATCCAAAAGTACACAAAGAGCAGGGAAAAAACTCCTATCCTCTAGATCAGAATACCTGTCACCGATATCCTTCATTGCAGAAACAAACATCGCTGTGACAAAGAACAAAGTTCCAGGAATGATATGTGATCATCCACAGACTAGAAAAGAGGCAAAATTCAGTCATCATTTCCTAAAGCTTTTCACTGGTGATAAGAAATCCTTCTGAGCAAAAGCCTAAGAGTCGGACACTTCATCTGATCACCTCCCAGGTCGTGGAGAACGTTTTGCTATCCCTCACTTTGTGTTGGGGAGAGAATCCTCAAATCTCAAACGAAAAATGTTCAACTGAAAACCAGCAAACTCCAGACTTCAAAGGCTCTGAATTTCACTCGATGGTGCATGCAGCGTATTGACGTAAATACGGCATCTGTAAACACTTCTGTTGGTTTTTTAACGAAGCTCTATCTCACCGTGTTGGCTCAGCGTGGTCCCATTAACAAGTTCAGATTGCAAGCAACGTGTGAAGACAGACCCTGCAGGGAGAAACAAAATAAGCGAATTAGTTTATCCGAAATGTGGAAAATTGAATTGATTTAACGTCTGTTAAAACGCGGTAAGGTTATTTAAGAGGTAGAACATCCGAATTTAACATCCATCTCAGATAACACTGTGCCAAATGGGAAAATTCGCGTAAAGTGTCTTTCCCAAGGACACATCATCGTACCGAGCTGAGACTCGAACATTGAAACGTGAAATCTCACGATTACGAGCCCGATAGCCTAACCACCAGACTACCGATGCCACTAATTAGTTTGTGTGTGAGAAGCCTGTATACGCTTTAGTTATATAATACATTTGAGAGCCGGCCAGCATGTCTGCCTGTATGCTTATACATGTATCTCTTCGTCTGGTCGCCTTTCAACCGTAGCAATTATCTTCATGACAACTCTTTATTCCTTTACTGCCAAACTCAGTTGTCTTTTTAATTCATTTGTCTCTTTTAGCATTAACATTTTAGAGAATTTGACCGGAAAAATCTCAGTGATCGCAAAGACAATTCTACCCTTTATTTCACTGGATTGAATTCATTTTGACAAAGTTCTCGAGCGCAAGAAAACTTTTTTAAAAAACTTAATGTACGGTTACCTTCGTACCGTGGCTCTCAAACGTTTCTACAAAAATTTCACTGAAAACAAAATGCGAAAGATGACAGAGTCCGCAATCGAAAACACAACAGCCGGCTGCAGGCGAGGGAAATGTCTGATGTACAATTAACAAGCGCTGATTAGTGCGACGTGGGAAGCGCGCGGAGACAGGTGAGAATTATCGATTCCTTCCTTTGTGCACGCTGAATACTCATTGAGCACGAGACAACGCGATACTGAAAAAAACGGCAAACGTCAAGGCTTTAATGGTGAAAAAATAAGATTTTCCTTCCACCGCTCCCTCAACCATTTCTTACTTGAAACAATTAATGTAATATCGAGGCCTACTCATTCTTTTATTTCAGTCATGAAACTGGCATTACTTTTCTCTCAATTTGTCTTCTCTATTATTATACACAGTTACTTGACCAGGTTTGAAATGTACAAAAGAATAATTTTACAAACAAATTATATA